AGAACTATTGTTGTTTAGTCGCTAAGTTGTGTGGAGCTCTTTGCGACCCCATGGACTGTAGCCTGCCAGGTTCCTCTGTTTATGAGATTTTCCAGACAAGAATACTGGAGTGGGTTGCCATTTCTTCTCCAGGGGATCTTCCCAAACCATGGGTGGAACCTGGGTCTCCTGCATTGGTGAGTGGGTTCTTCACCACTGAGCCAACAGACAAGCCCCAGAGTCACCTAGGGTGGAATCAAATTCCCTCAAAGAAATATCATTAAGAGAAAATCGTTGTGACACTTCTAAGCCCACACAAATGCTCAAACAAACCAACACCAGAAAACCAAAATGCTAGTTCAGATGAGATCTCTGAAGCTGGCTGTAATTCTTTGTGGGACGTGTTAGGTAGAAACAATAACTCTATTTAGGGCTATAGCTCATTTGCCCCCACATCCCTGGAGCCTCAGAAAGGACCCCGGATCTTCAGTTGCCCATAGTGAGGTCATTCATGGGGCAAAAGTAGAATCTTCTTGAATTTGGAGGATTTTACATTTACTCAGTGCCACTGTGGATGTTGATTTCTTCTTTGAACATTTTGGAATTAATTTGCTTTGACTCTAAATAAGAACCGCAAACAGGAAACCAGGAACTGGTCTTGAACCATCGCCCCACGATGATGACTCATGCAAAAATCCTAAGAGTTTTTGAGCCAATGAAATCCATGGTTAGATAAACAGTAAATTCTCCTTTTCAACACGTTTCAGATATCCCAGCTTGCCTAGTAATGTTCTAACTTGAACCCCAGACTTAACATTTAAAATTTATATTTTTGTTGGCACTGATTTTTATTTTTATTTAAAAAATGGTTTATTTATTTATTCTTGGCTGTGCTGGGTCTTTACTGCTGCATGGGCTTTTCTCTAGTTGTGATGAGCGGAGGCTACTTTCTAGTGGCAGTTCACAAGCCTCTCATTGCTGTAGATTTTCTTGCTACAGAGCACAGGTTCTAGGGCACACAGGCTTCAATATTTGCTGGCACATGGCTCAATAGTTGAGGCTCCTAAGCTCTAGAGCACAGGCTCAATAGATATGGTGCATGGGCTTGTTTCCCTGAGGCATGTGGGATGAGATGGTTGGGTGGCATCACCTACTCAATGGACATGGGTTTGAACAAACTTCAGGAAATAGTGAAGGACAGGGAAGACTGGAGTGCTGCAGTCCATGGGGTAGCAAAGAGTCAGAGAACAACAAGAGGGCTCTGGGTTATCACCAATAAGCTAGGCCTATGATTTTAGCCATGTCATCGATTCATCTCATTTGCGAATAAAGAGATACAACTAGATATTTTTATTGTGATTGTCATGATCAGTATTGAATATTTATAGTAGGTTGAAAGGTAGATGAAGACTGTGACAAATAGACTGATAGGTAGGTAGATAGACAGATGTATAGCAGTGGCAAATGTTGGAACTGAACTCAATTTGTCTGACATTGTGATGCAACTAGTATAACATCTCTTAACACTACTTATAAACTGAAGTTAGCTGTGATTCAAGACAGAAAGGGCAATTTGTTGCTTGCAGTCTGCATTGTAAAGGTATTCCAACTGCCACCAGTATTCACAAACATGTTCAGTTTAGATTTAAACTGTCCCAGGAAACTGTCAAAGATTATATTATTTTGTCCATTTAGTATAAATATATAATAGCTTCAAGGTGGTAGGACAGAAGTGAAAGAGGATGATCAGTGTTTAATCATTACAAACTTAAGTCATTGCCCTTTAAACTTCCAGTCATGCAGACCAAGCAAAGCAGAGGACTCCTACAGTTTTGGATCTGGTGCTTTCTCTTTATTCATGTTTATCCTAACTGTACAACATTTTATGTGGAATTATTGAAATGAAATCTTATTGTGACATTTCTGAGCAGTTGTGCACATTTTCCTGGGGAGAAAATGAATAATAGAACAAAATGAAGAAAAAAACACAAATGAAAGGTGATAAAAGTAGCAATAGTAAACTGTCTTTTTAGGGACCTTTAGATCTGGACATCATCTGAGAACAATAATTATTCTCAATGTGTCTTCAAACTTCCAAATTTTTCTTCAATCATATTAAAGGAACTTACTTATTATTTTTGTTGTTAAGTTTCTCAGTCGTGTCCAACTCTGTGATGCCATGTACTACAGCATGCCAGGATGCCCTGTCCTTCACCATCTCCAGGAGCTTGCTCAAACTCATGTCCATTGAAACAGTTTTGCCATCCAATCATCTTATCCTCTGTTGTCCCCTTCTCCTCCTGCCTTCAATCTTCACCAGCAGCAGGGTCTTTTCTAATAAGTTGGCTCTTTGCATCAGGTGGCCAAAGAATTGGAACTTCAGTTTCATTGGAACTTCCAATGAATATTCAGGACTGATTTCCTTTAGGATGGACTGGTTCGATCTGCTTGCAGTCCAAGGGGCTCTCAAGAGTCTTCTCCAACACCACAGTTCAAAAGAGTCAATCCTTTGGTGCTCAGCTTTCTCTATAGTCAACTCTCACATCCACACATGACTACTGGAAAAACCATAGTTTTGACTAGATGGACCTTTGTTGGCAAAGTAATGTCTCTGCATTTAATATGCTGTCTAGGTTGGTCATAGGTTTTCTTCCAAGGAGCAAGCTTCTGTTAATTTCATGGCTTCAGTCACCATCTGCAGTGACATTGGAGCCCAAGAAAATAAAGTCTCTGACTGTTTCCATTATTTTCCCATCTATTTGCCATGAAGTGATGGGACCAAATGTCATGATTTTAGTTTTCTGAATGTTGAGCTTAAGCCAACTTTTTCACTCCCCTTTTTCACCTTCCTCAGGAGGCTTTTTAATTCTTCAATTTCTGCCAAAATGGTGGTGTCATCACACTAAACTATGGAAAATTCTGAAAGAGATGGGAATACCAGACCACCTGACCTGCCTCTTGAGAAACCTGTATGCAGGTCAGGAAGCAATAGTTAGAACTAGACATGGAACAACAGACTGGTTGCAAATAGGAAAAGGAGTGCGTAAAGGCTGTATATTGTCACCCTGCTTATTTAACTTCTATGCAGAGTACATTTCTATGCAACTGAAATGCCAGGTTTGATGAAGCACCAGCTGGAATCAAGATTTCTGGGAGAAATATCAATAACCTCAGATATGCAGATGACACCTGATGGACAGGGAGGCCTGGCGTGCTATGGTTCATAGGATTGCAAAGAGTCGGACATGACTGACTGGCTGAACTGAACTGAGCTGACACAGTCAAAGGTTTTAGCATAGTCAATGAAGCATATGTCTTTCTTGAACTCTCTTGCTTTTTCTATGATCCAACGGATGTTGGCAATTTGATCTCTGATTCCTCTGCCTTTTCTAAATCCAGCTGGAACATCTGGAAGTTCTTGGTTCACATACTGTTGAAGCCGAGCTTGAAGAATTCTGAGCATAGTCTTGATAGTGTATCACATGAGTGCAATTGTGCAGTAGTTTGAAGACTGTTTGGCATTGCCCTTCTTTGGGATTGGAGTGAAACAGACTTTTTCCAGTCCTATGGCCACTGCTGAGTTTCCAAATTTAGCAGTATATTGAGTGCACCACTTTAACAGCATAATCTTTTAAAATTTGAAATAGCTCAGCTGGAATTCCATCACTTCCACTAGTTTTGTTTGTAGTGGTGCTTCCTGAGGCCCACTTGACTTCACCCTCCAGGATGTCTGGCTCTAGGTCAGTGATCACACCATCATGGTTATATGGGTCTTTAAGATCTGTTTTGTAGAGTTCTTCAGTATATTCCTGACACTTCTTCTTAATAATCTTGTCATTAAAGTTAATGAGATTTAATATTAATGAATCTTATGCTCCTTTCTAGAATTCTGTTGTGTCAATCTGAATGCCAGCTCCCTCATTTTGAGATATAACATTTTAGTGACATATATGCTTTAACTGTTCTTAATGCTTCCTTCAGAAATGTTGTATTTGCAATTCTTTCCCTGAGAACAGTCTTTCTGGATTACCTGGTATCTAGTGTCTTACCATCATTTGAGACTTTATTGACTGCTAATACTTAATACAGGTTGCTCTCCTGTTTCCCTGGTTTGCTATTTCACAGTATTAAAAACTATCAATACTTTAAAAAAAAACCTAAAAACTGGTGTGAATATTGTCCTTTCAAGTTTTTCATGCTTAAGCAAAATTCAGAAAATGGTGTTCTAACCTTAATATATGCCTTGCACAAATATTGCTCTGTTGTTTCCCTAATGTAAAAGTGAGCTTCTGCTTTTAGGAAAATAATAGGCTTATGGTCGTATCTCAAAATGCTAATAAATGGTTATTTTTCATAAAAAGAACTATCTTCTCTGATGACACGGGAAGTATACATTAACCATTTCTATTACATTCCAAAGTCCTATTTCCCAAGGAAAATTATTTGTATGAGCGGAACTACCCTCTTTTTCAGGGAATGCAATTTTTATTTGAAAGGAGCAATGACACTGAAAGATCTATAAAATTTAGTGAAACAATGAATTACTTTTTAAAAATCTTAACATTAGTACAAGTGACATCCAGTGTGCAAAATAGGCTTATGAATTTTAATATAACAGAATAGGAAATAGTGATATTGTTTCAGGTCCACTGAGAAAATAACTGTTAAAAAACTATCACTTGCGTAGCTTTAGTTTTGTATCAAAGATATACATCCACAAATAACAGGAAAGGTTATTCAAAATATTACTCCTACATTGTATGGTCCTTTCTATTTTCATAGATTTGAATCAAAATAACGGATTCAATTCAAAAGCAAACATAAAATCCAGTGAGACAGCAAGGAAAAGACTTGCAAAAATATAATAATGAAATAACTTCCACTGTTCCCACTATAGAGTTTATTTAGAGAAATAGTTATTTTTCATGTAAAAATCATGGGTTATTAACATTATTCTAAATAAATTATTAAAAAATTTTTAAACTGTTATTTCTACTATGGAAAATATCGACAGACGTAACCACATAAACAAAATTATCCTTGGGGTCCTCACTAATTTGTAGGACTGTATAAATATCCTGACCAAAATGTTCTGAAACTATCTGACTCCACAGTCGCTGGGCCGGGACTCAGGGACAGTGTGACCAGAATTCTCGGTGCAGGAGAGGAGGGATCAGGGCAAAGTCCCAGATGTCCCACAAAGTACCAGATGTAGTTCTCACAGTCTCAGCGTCTCAGAGTCAAGGGCCTTGTTTGCGGCGGGGGTGCTGTCTGTGTTGGGATCCCTAGTCTCCTCGAGTTTCACTTTCTCTTCGCAAACTGTGTTGTGCCTTTCTGCCGGGACACTCGCGTCGCGGCCCTAGTTCTCACTCCCATTGGGTGTCTGGTTTCTAGAAGCCAATCATCGGTCCTACGGTTCCAGGTTATAAAGTTTCTACCGGTTCCCACGCCCACCCCCACCCTCCACCGGGACTCGGTTTCTCCCCAGACCCGGAGGATACGGGTCATGGGGCCGCGAACCCTCCTCCTGCTGCTCTCGGGGGTCCTGGTCCTCACGGAGACCTGGGCCGGTGAGTGCGGGGACGGGAGGGAACGGCCTCTGCGGGGAGGGGCGAGGGGACCGCCCGGGGATCGGGGGTGGGGGGGAGACCCCCAGGGAAGGAGCCGCCCCGCGCCCCTCGCTCAGACCCGTCCTGTCCCACCTGGTCCCGTCCTGTCCCTCCCCTGCTTCCCGCCCCCTTTTCTCTCCCCCAAGAAGTCCCGGTCCTTCTCCGACCTTGTCGGTCTCACGTGCCCCTAGCCCCTAGCCCCCTCCCACTCCCGGCCCCATCACCTCTGACCCGGGACCCGCGCCAGGAGGAATGCCGGGCCGGGTCTCACCCCTCCCCGCCCCCAGGCTCCCACTCCCTGAGCTATTTCTGCACCAGCGTGTCCCGGCCCAGCCTCGGGGAGCCCCGTTTCTTTGCCGTCGGCTACGTGGACGACACGCAGTTCGCGCGGTTCGACAGCGACGCCCCGAATCCGAGGATGGAGCCGCGGGCGTCGTGGATGGAGCAGGAGGGGCCGGAATACTGGGAAGAGATTACAGGAGATGCCAAGAAAGCTCAACAGAGATTGCGATCAGGCTTGAACACCCTGCCCGGTTTCTACAACCAGAGCTAGGCCGGTGAGCGACGCGGACCCGGGTCCAGGTCACGACCCCCATCCCCAGGGACTGGCTGGGGTCGCCCCGAATCTCTGGGTCCGAGGGTCACCCCGACATTGCGGGACCCTCACCGCCCCCCCCCCTCCATTCAGGAGTAGGCGGGGGCGGGGCGGGGACTTGACCCGGTTTCATCTTCAGTTTGGGTTTAATCACCGCGGGTGGTCGGGGCGGGTCAGGGTCTCACACCCTCCAGTGGGTGTTTGGCTGCGACGTGGGGCCGGACGGGCGCCTCCTCCGTGGGATCTGGCAGAACGCATATGATGGTGCGGATTACCTCGCCCTGAACGAAGACCTGCGCTCCTGGACCGCGGCGGACACGGTGGCTCAGATCACCAAGCGCAAGTGGGAAATCTCCGGTGAGGCTGTTCCAACGGAACTTGACCAACGGAGGTCAAGTGCGTGCAGTGGCTCCGCAGACACCTGGAGAACGGGAAGGACACGCTGCTGCGCGCAGGTACGAGGGGCACGGGGCCTCCCTGATCTCCTCTCAGGCTGGAGCCAGCTTTCCACGAGGAGAGGAAAATGGGGTCCTTCTGGGAACACTGCCCCAACTTCTTGTCTGGAGAGGGGGGAGTCTCCCCATGTTTTCATATTCTGCAGAAGACAGTGACACACCAGTGGCCCCACTTCTGAAGGACAGTTAAAGCATCAGTGTTTCTGGAGAATCAGAAAAACATCCCTGAAATAACTGGTCAGCGGTGCCCTTTGACCCTGACTGCCATCTTGTGAACCATGACTTTCTCTCTCAAGGCCTGTTCTCGCCCTGAGACCATCTTAGGAGGCCAGACTCCAGCTTTTCTGAGACATTCAGGCTTCATCCAAATCAGGACCATTACTCTGTATTTTCCCCTGACATGGAGACTCCTACCTTGGCACTCACCCTGACTCCAGAACTTTCCAAGAACTAGGAGTTTTGCCCAGACCACAGATTCCAGGCTGGTGTCTGGTGTCTGTGCTGCTTCTTTTCAAACCCAGTATCTCACCTGTTCTCAGTATGGTCACGTGGTTCTGTTTCAGTGGCCCATGGAGTGTGAATTTTCTGATTCTTCCTCTTCAGACCCTCCAAAGACACGTGTGACTCATCACCCCATCTCTGACCGTGAGGTCACCTTGAGGTGCTGGGCCCTGGGCTTCTACCCTGAGGAGATCTCACTGACCTGGCAGCGTGACGGGGAGGACCAGACTCAGGACATGGAGCTTGTGGAGACCAGGCCTTCAGGGGATGGAACCTTCCAGAAGTGGGCAGCCCTGGTGGTACCTTCTGGAGAGGAGCTGAGATACACGTGCCATGTACAGCATGAGGGGTTTCAGGAGCCCCTCACCCTGAGATGGGGTAAGGAGGGGGTAGGAATAGAGCTTCCTCTCAGATAAAGCAGGAACCCTTCTGGACACCATCAGCAAGGTCAGAACTGAAGCCTGAAGTCTGGGCCCTTCCTTTTCTTCCATAGAACCTCCTCAGCCCTCTGTCCTCATCATGGGCATCATTGTTGGCCTGGTTCTCATGGTCAATGGAGCTGTGGTGACTGGAGCTGTGATTTGGAGGAAGAAGTGGTCAGGTAGAAAAAGGACGGAGGGATCTGAGTTTTCTTGTCTCACTGGGCAGGTTTCTGGCCCAGATGGAAGTTTGCCTGCCTCGTTACTGGAATCTACCCTCTACACACATGTGGAATCTGAGCTGATACTATGACTGACCCTTCTGTAAAGTACATGTAAAAATGAGAGACAAATTTTTCATCTTCATAACTTCATTTGGGGGCCTGTTTCTCAGCATTTGAAGGTCAGGAGGGAATGTCCCTCCTGAGGACAGACCTCCAGGAGGGCAGGTGGTCCAGTCCCCCCACGTCTCCTTCCTTCATGTTCCTGAGCCTATCCTGGATTTTTGGTCACAGTTCTGAAAAGTTCTTTGTCGTTCAGACTAGGGAGTTCCTCTAGGATCTCATGACTCGGTCTTCTCCCTGGTCTCTCATGTGGTACTGCTTTCTCTAGTTTCTTCTCTGTGGGTTCTGAGCACGTTCTGGTCTTGTTCTCCCCCAGGCTGTGACAGTGCCCTGGGCTCTGATGTGTCTCTCACGGTTCCTAAAGGTGAGACCCTGGACGGTCTAGATTGGGAGAGGAGTTGGGGCAGAGGGGACACCCTGGGTGGCAGGGATCTTTGAGTGGGACATGTGAGCATATGGGGGGCTATGGAGAATGTGAGCCCTACATAACCGACCTGAACTGGTTCCTGATTCTTTTCTCTCACAGTGTGAGACAGCTGCCTTGTGGGGACTGAGTGATGCTCCGTCCCACTTTGTGACATCAGATCCCCAGACTCCTCTTTCTGCAGCTGCATCTGAGTGTGTCTGTGCTCCTATTAGCATAAGATGAAGAGGTGGGGAGACTGCCAACCTCTTCCAATCCAAACTCCGGGATTTAAAATGCGGTGCCTACCATTGCAACAAAAAGAATAAAATACTTAGGAGTTTATCTACCTAAAGAAACAAAAGACCTATACATAGAAAACTATAAAACACTGATGAAAGAAATCAAAGAGGACACAAACAGATGGTTCATCACCCCATCTCTGACCGTGAGGTCACCTTGAGGTGCTGGGCCCTGGGCTTCTACCCTGAGGAGATCTCACTGACCTGGCAGCGTGACGGGGAGGACCAGACTCAGGACATGGAGCTTGTGGAGACCAGGCCTTCAGGGGATGGAACCTTCCAGAAGTGGGCAGCCCTGGTGGTGCCTTTTGGAGAGGAGCAGAGATACACGTGCCATGTGCAGCATGAGGGGTTTCAGGAGCCCCTCACCCTGAGATGGGGTAAGGCGCGGGTAGGAATGGAGATTCCTCTCAGATAAAGCAGGAACCCTTCTGGACACCATCAGCAAGGTCAGGACTGAAGCCTGAAGTCTGGGCCCCTTCCCTTTCTTCCACAGAACCTCCTCAGCCCTCCGTCCTCATCATGGGCATCATTGTTGGCCTGGTTCTCCTAATGTTTGCTGTGGTGACTGGAGCTGTGATTTGGAGGAAGAAGCGCTCAGGTAGAGAAAGGAGGGAGGGATCTGAGTTTTCTTGTCTCACTGGGTGGGTTTCTGGCCCGATGGAAGTTTGTCTGCCTCCTTTCTGGAAAGTACCCTCCACACACTTGTGGAATCTGAGGTGATGCTAAGACTGGCCCTTTTGTAAAATACATGTGAAAATGAAAGACAAATTTTTCATCTTCATAATTCCATTTGGGAGACTGTTTCTCAGCATTTGAAGGTCAGAAGGGAATGTGCCTGCTGAGGACAGACCTCCAGGAAGGCAGGTGGTCCAGTCCCCTCACGTCTCCTTCCTTCATGTTCCTGAGCCTATCCTGGATTTTTGGTCACAGTTCTGAAAAGTTCTTTGTCGTCCAGACTAGGGAGTTCCTCTAGAGTCTCATGACTCAGTCTGCTCCATGGTCTCTCACGTGATACTTTCTTCTCACAGGTGAAAACGGAGGGGGCTACACCCAGACTGCAAGTAAGTACAGAGGGAGTGTTATTCCTGAAACCCTGTGACGGTCTACACAGGAGGCCATGGGGGGCTCACTCTCCTCAAAGTGCCTTCTCTAGTTTCTCTCCTGTGGGTTCTGACCACATCCTGGTCTTGTTCTTCCCCAGGTAGTGACGGTGCCCAGGGTTCTGATGTGTCTCTCACAGTTCCTAAAGGTGAGACCCTCAAGAGTCTAGGTTGGGAGAGGAGTTGGAGCAGAGGGGACACACTGGGTGGCGGGGATCTTTGAGTGGGACATGTGAGCATGTGGGGGGCTGTGGAGAATGTGAGCCCTTACATGACTGACCTGAACTGGTTCCTGATTCTTTTCTCTCACAGTGTGAGACAGCTGCCTTGTGGGGACTTAGTGATGCTCTGTACCACTTTGTGACGTCAGATCCCCGGACCCCTCTTTCTGAAGCTGCATCTGAATGTGTCTGTGCTCCTATTAGCATAAGATGAAGAGGTGGGGAGACTGCCAACCTCTTCCAATCCAAACTCTGGGATTTAAAAAGCGGTACCTAATAGTCACAGCCTCGATTCTTTTCTGAAGAGAAAATATCATTATATGTAGAGTGAAGACTGGTGGATGTGAGAGGGAGGGGTGATCAGATCTTGTGGGGAAAGTACAGGCAGCACGGATGTCAGTGTGAATGGATAATGTACTGTAGCTGCCGTGAGAGAGCAAGTGGCCTGAGTTCACATTAATAAATATAGAATACAGAGGCGTCTACACTCATCATTCCTTCATCTGATATTTGTTGTGTGCCAAATAGATGACGCTCTATATTTGCATCTGGGAAACCTCAGTGAACTAACAACAGACACACTTTGTTGGCCTCGTGCCCTATGTTCTGGTGAGATGGGGCAGAGTGAGCCTATAAGTGAGAAAAGTGTCTGCCTAGAGACTGGCAAGTGCTCTGAGGAAGGTTACCGAGAGTAGAAGTGTGTGGGTACAGGGAATGTGGCTGTTTTACTAGGGTGGTCAGTGTAGGCCTCGTTGAGGAGATGATATCGGAGTAAAGATGTGAAGGACATGAGAGAATGTCCACTAGGATGTCTGGGGGAAGTTCTCTCCAGGCAGAGGAGACGCCAGTGCAAATGCAGGAGGGCAGGAGAGTGTCTGTGATTAAGGAAGAGCCAGGAGGCAGGTGTGGGTGGGGGAATGAGGAATTGAGATGAGATCCAGTGTCTGGCCAGATCATGTGTGCCTCCAGCATATTGGAAGGTGTCTGGTGTCTGTGAAAGATGTGGACTCATAAGATGGTTTGAATAGAAGATGACCTGGTGTGACTGCTCGCTAGGAGCGTCAGTCTAACTGCTGTGCAAAATCAGGAGGTGAAGGGTGAGCGATGCAGTAGAGGAGCCTGTAGGATTAGTGCGGGGTCCAGGTGGGGATGCTGGTGCTCCCTGGACCCTCATTAAATCTAGACAGTCGTGAGTAGAGCCTGTTCGTGATAAGGTTGGTGCTGATGCTGCTGGTCTTCAGATCACACTTTTAGTAGCAACAAAGTACGTAGACCAGGATTCCCACATGCTGTGTATCAGCCTCACACACAGAGGTTGTTAAATAAGCAATCCCTTGGTCTTGTCCTAATACTCTGAGAAGGTGGTTCTGGGGAGAGGCTGAGCATTTCGGAAAAGCCCCACAAGCAATTCTGACGATCAGCCAATTTGGGAAGCCCTGAGGTATACGAGAGCGAGTGGCCAGAGAGGGGCCTTAAATCCACATTTAAAAGTGGTTTTTTTCTTCAGAAAGAAAAGGGAATTTATATTGACAATTCATATTGTCAATTATGAGGTGTGATGTTGAGAAATAATGTTGTTCTTCTTCCACCTGAAGACTTAGGCAGTGGTTCAGAGTTCAGCATAATGAAATCCTTGCTCTCTGAAACTATTCTCCAGGTTGAGTTCTCCTCACTCATTCTTGGAGCTAACAATGGGATCCAAATTAAGTTAGACATACAGTACTATATATATATGGCTGCATGGGAACAGGATCCACGGTGTCCACTCCAGGCCAGGTCCCACAATGGAACTTTCGCTCCTGCTGGGGCACAGTGTCACTGCTCACACAGTGAGCCCCTTGTGCTGGACGTGGATCCCGCGCTGAGGACGGCTATCACTGAGGCTCCTGACAACTGGATGTGGTGTGACTCCCACTCTTGACACCCTTGTCAGATGCATCCTGCATAGTTTCAGCTTCTCTGTGTCACAACGGCCTGAGTAGATTCTGACATGTGGTCACCTGAGTGATGGGAGCTCAGCATCATGCTGTGTGCTTTGGCAAGAATATTTGGGAAAGTGGGTTTTCTTCTTTAATGGAGGAAGGTGGTCTCTGCCTCCTACCAAGATTCAGTGTGGAATTTTCCTAATCTGGAAATGCTCCTAATCAGGTGAGGGGGAGAGAGGGATGGACAAGAATGTCAAATTTCAATTGTTAGAGCAATGATCTGGAACTGGAACTTGATCTGGTACAATGTAGGCACTCAGGTTTGACTGAAAGAACAAGTGACTAATAAATGACATCCAGGGTAGAGATCTGCTTGCTTACTTGTTTGTTTTGTTTTGTTTTCATTGGAGTGTAATTGATTTACAATGCTGTGTCACTTTCTGCTGGATAGTACAGTGAATCACCTATAAATATATTCAGGCTTTTTTAGATTCTTTCCCCATATACACCATTAGAGAGTGCTGGGTAAATTTCCCTGTACTATGCAGTATCCACAGCACTTTAAAGTGCTGCCCAGGCGGTGGTGGAGGGAGATCCTAGGAGGATGGCTCTGCTCCAGATGCAGAAGAATCCAGACCAGGTGGGAGCATGTCAGAAGGGTCCAGGACAACATTTCCAAAAAAGGAAAAACTGATGGAATATCCAAAGTATCCATACTTCTTGAAAGAGGCATGCAAACAGTGCAGTCATTAGAGCTGAATTCATGAGAGCTTCATAGAACATAATCAGCAAAAACAAATCCTCATCAAGAGGCTCTTTAGTTCTTCTTCATTTCTGCCATTAAGGTGGGATAATCTCCTTCCTGAGGTTGTTGATATTTATTTCTCCTGGCACTTTTGATTCCAACTTGTGATTCATCCAGCCTGGGGTTTTGCCTGATGTATTCTACATATAGTTAAATAAGCAAGGTGACAATGTAGAGCCTCATTATACTCCTTTCCCAATTTTAAACCAGTCCGTAGTTCCATGTCTGGTTCTACCTGTTGCTTCTTGACCTGCAGACAGGTTTTCAGTAGACAAGTAAGATGGTCTGGTATTCCCATCACTTTAAGACTATTCCACAGTTTGTTGTGATCCGCACAGTCAAAGGCTTTAGCATAGTCAATGAAACAGAAGTAGATGTTTTTGTGGAATTCCCTTGCTTTCTCTGTGATCCAACAAATGTTGGCAATATGATCTCTGGTTCCTCTGCCTTCTCTAAACCCAGCTTGTACATCTGGAAGTTCTCAGTTCACATACTGCTGACTCCTAGCTTGAAGAATTTTGAGCATAATTTTGCTAGCATGTGAAATGAGTACAACTGTACAGTAGTTTAAATATTCTTTAGCATTGCCCTTCTTAGGGATTGGAATGAAAACTGACCTTTTCCAGTCCTTTGGATCGCTTCATTTCCTCATATGTAGAAAAGGATTAAACCCTTTCATGGTGAGATCAGCTCCTTGTGACTAGCAGAAAACCTTGGGAAGATATGTACTTGATTGCACTGAACTCCCCCTTTAGCAAAATCATATATACTGATCTTCCCTCCCTACCCCTTTGGAGCTGTTCTCAGAACTATCTGAGGTGCTGTCTCCCAGGCTGCAGTCCTCATTTTGCCCCAAATACAACTTAACTCACAAGTCTTAAGTTGAACATCTTTTTAGTTGACCAGTGTATTAGTCATGGAAAAGAAAAAGCTGAATGAACTAAGTATGATCAATATATAAATAAAGTGGGAAACTGAAGGAATGGGAAGAGTGAAAGAAAGCAATGACTGTTAACAATTGCATCAGCCCCTGTGTGATGTGACAGACAGTGGCTGTGACAGAAAAATCAAGCAGCCCTTCTAATAAGGCATCATGTTTAGAGATTTGGAAATAAAAGCCAAAAGAAACAGCTAAACATTATGCAAAGTGGTCTGCTTTCCTATGGGAAAGCAGAAATTGAGAAGAATCAGGATTATAATAAGAGTCTGTATCATGAGAAATCATGCACAGATATTTGACTTCTTAATTTACAGCCAGTGGTGCCTTTGATGAAATAATCACACAAGAAAATGAGTGATGATGAAAGTTTATGCTTAATGAAAGCTGAGTACAACAAATGACACTTGAGAGTTTACTAAAATGCAAGAATACTCGAATGGAAACATGCATGCACAACTGCGTGAATGACATTAACCTTGAATAAAACCATGAAAGAATATATCATCCCATTTGGATAAACAGATATGGAATGAGTTCTCTATTCCCATTACCGTACTGTGCATCGTGTGCACCAGGCAGGGAGGGAACAGGCCCTGACTAGGAGAGCCCTTCATCACCCTCTTGCTTCCAGTCCGGTCCTGCTGCAGAAAGTGCTCCTGTCATCTGTCTCAGGTCTGTGGGAGGTGCCCCTTAGAACACGCTGCCACAAATGCTTTACCTGGGTGAGGCTAAGGTGGTCCTGACCAAGGAGAGCACCGCTTACCTGTGTGCCCCCGGACCAGAAGTCAGGAACAACTGAGGTCCGATGGAGAAGTCTCACCTCCCGTCTGCCCTGTGGAAATCAGCCTGAGCTCATGGAGGGAGATGCTGCCCAGCCCTCCACGTTCTGGGCTCCTTTACTGTCTCGGTTCAGGACACTCATCTTCAACAGTAACCACATCAAATATATTATCGGTTTTAATCATCCCAACCTTAACAAAATAAACACTAGTTTTCTCATTTCATAGATGAAAAAATGGAGACCTCAAGAAGGAATGTGTTCTACTATAAATCAACTACCTTCAAAAATAATAATAATAAAACAAAAAATGCATCTATATGGAATCTAGAAAAGTGGTACTGATGAACTATTTACAGAGCAGGAATAGAGACCCAGACGTGGAGAACGGACTTGTGAGGGAAGGAGAGGGTGGGATGAATTGAGAGTAGCATTGAAACATACACATCACCTCAAGAAAATGAATGAGGATGAAAGTTTATGCTTAATGAAAGCTGAGTACAGCAAATGACACTTGAGAGTTTACTAGAATGCAAGAATACTCGAATGGAAACTTGCATGCACAACTGTGTGAGAGATGTTAACTGTGAATAAAACCATGAAAGAATATATCATCCCATTCGGATAAACAGATATGGAATGAGTTCTCTATTCCCATTCCCTTACTGTGCATCGTGTGCACCAGGCAGGGAGGGAACACACCTGCCTAGGAGAACCCTTCGTCACCCTCTTGCTTCCAGTCTGGTCCTGCTGCAGAAAGTGCTCCTGTCATCTGTCTCGGGTCTGTGGGAGGTGCCCCTTAGAACACGCTGCCACAAATGCTTTACCTGGGTGAGGTTAAGGTGGTCCTGACCAAGGAGAGCACCGCTCACCTGTGTGCCCCCGGACCAGAAGTCAGGAATGACTGAGGGTCAGGTGGAGAAGTCTCACCTCCCGTCTGCCCTGTGGAAATCAGCCTGAGCTCATGGAGGGAGATGCTGCCCAGCCCTCCACGTTCTGGGCTCCTTTATTCTCTCCGCTCAGGACACTCATACTCAACAGTCACAACTCCCTAGAAGCCGACTGACCCCTAGTCCTCCTAATCAGAAGCCCCCAAGCCCTGTCCTGTCCCCTCCCCCGACATCGCCCTTCAGCTCTGCTTCATCACAGGAGGGTGACAGCTGCTCAGGGGAGATTCCCCCCAGGGTCAGCCACTGAGCACTGGCCCCAGGGGTCCCACTGCATTATCCCCCAGCCCTTTATGCTGAACCTGTCAGACAATGGGAGCTGGGGGGAGAGAGAGGTGGGGGGTTATTAGAGCCTCCTCAAGGCTGAGATAAAACTCTCCTTTGCCCCAGAATCTTACACACTCTCCCTTCCCAGCATGTAAAACAAAATGTAATCCAGATGTGTATATTTAAAGAGCAATTAAAACTTTAAATATGAAGTTATACAGATGTTACAGGCACGGAGTAATGCATATATGAGTGTGACAAGTGTGAAGGGAACCTTAGATTTCCAGAAATCTGCTAGTGGTCATCTCAGGAGTAGCCACAATAAGGAAACTGGCAGATAAAGCGTATTGGTAATAATTTGTTGTCCATGTGCTCTATTATAATGTAAAAAGCAAAATTAATATTAGTTACGAGTGTGGTGCAGCTGTAATCACGTCAAATATATTATCGGTTTTAATCATCCCAACCATAACAAAATAAACACTAGTTTTCTCATTTCATAGATGAAAAAATGGAGACCTCAAGAAGGAATGTGTTCTACTATAAATCAACTACCTTCAAAAATAATAATAATAAAACAAAAAATGCATCTATATGGAATCTAGAAAAGTGGTACTGATAACTATTTACAGAGCAGGAATAGAGACCCAGACGTGGAGAACGGACTTGTGAGGGAAGGAGAGGGTGGGATGAATTGAGAGTAGCATTGAAACATACACATCACCGCGTGTAAAAAGCTACTGGGATAAACAGATATGGAATGAGTTCTCTATTCCCATTAGCTTACTGTGCATCGTGTGCACCAGCAGGGAGGGAACAGGACCTGACTGGGTACTCAGCCTGGTGCTCAGTGACCTAGAGGGGTGAGATGGGGAGGGTGGGAGGGAAGTTCCAGAGGGAGGAGATACATGTAGACTTAGGGCTGATTCACAGTGCTGTTTGGCAGAAACCGATACATTATAATGCAAGTATTCTCCAGTTAAAAATAAAATATAAAATAAAAATAATTTTAAAATAATAAAATTAATAACACACATTAAAAAAAAAAAGTGCTATTAAGACCAGAACTCAGAACTGAATTCAGGCCTCCTGGCTGCAGATTCTAAGCTTCCCCTGTTAAACTGAGGAGCTGAGTCTGACACGAGGATTGAAATTCTGGGTGTGTGAGGCCATTATGATCAGTTGGCTCCGTCTGGAACTGATCCCGGTCTTGTAGGCTAATAGGCTCTGGGGAAAAAGAAAAACCAATAAATAACTGACCAACTGGTTGCAGAATAATGCTTTTCATTCCCTCAGAGATTCTCCTTCAGTTGCTTCAAAGTCATATTCTGCCTTCCTCTGAGGGAAGAACACACCTGTTCTTTTTTTGCGTTCTTTTCCCCAGCTCTTGCTGAACTCCTCCCCTGACTCCATCAGCGTCATCACCTGTCCCTGCTGCCACCACCGTCCACAACAGGGACAGAAGTCGCAGGAACGAAGGACAAGATCCAGGAGTGAAAACCCAAGGCCCTTCCGCCTTGAACCCAGATCCATTCTCTAACGCAATGCGAGGCTCCCTCACAGACAGGACCCAGCTCCATGTTCCTCCAGCCCGGGAGTGTACACACACACAGCTCCTTTCTCTCCTCAGTTCTCGGCCTCCTCACCTGCACAAGCACCTGCTCCACCGCCTGGTTCCACCTCAACCCTGACCTCCACCTCTTGCAGCCCCCCTCCCCCTCGCCCCCAGCCCTGAGCCAGCAGCTCCGAACTGGAAAGCCCATCTGGAGGCCCAGAGGACAGCAGCCCCGACTACAAACACTGGGCTGTCCCGGACTCTCCCCCTGACCGGACCCTGGAGCACCCCTGTCCTCGCCTCAACCCTCACTCTCTGTCCAGGCTCCTAGGCTGCACTTGGCCTTTCCTGCTCCTTCCTGGGAATCCCAGCTCCACTCCAAGTGCTGGGCTGGGCTGAGGCAGAGCAGNACCACATGCCAAGCTCTGTGCGAACAGCAGCCTGAGACTTGACTGAGCAGCATCTTGGTCTGGGAGAAACTCTGAATCCACAGCACAGAAGACCTGTTGGGAAGTGCCTGCCATCCCAGGAGAAAGGATGAAGAAAACGTCTTCTGGAAGTTCATAGAGTGATTCTAGATTGGAAGGTGCCTGGAGATGATCGGATTCGGACTCCACTTGCAGAGAAGAACAGGATACCAGTGGAGGATGCTGGAACTGGACCTTAGAAGCAGGGCCTATAAGTACAAGGTGTCATAAGGAATACTGTGATATTGAATTCATTAAATCCATACATCCTAAAGTTATAAATGGATGGAATAATTACTCATTATATGAAGTGAAAAAGATATCAGGAAGATGAATTCATCCCATATTTTGGAAAGATATATGAATTTAGATGAAATCACACAGATATGTTGAGTGAAAGTTTTCTAATTTTCAAACTGTTTTATTGTTAATATAAAGAGTAAAGTGCCACAAACTGCTCTGCATGGATAGACTGACTTCTCCACAACAGACACTCAGAGCTGGGGTGTAGACAAGTGAACCCAGCATGTCCCCAGCCTCTCCCTGCAGGTCCCCTGAGGCAGCGACCTCTTCTCTAGTCTCCCTTGGGGAACCAGCGCCTGACTCAGGGGCTCAGTCAACACTCCCTGAAATACTACACTAGGGAAGTGGCCTCTTGTGTCCTAGTCAAGTTAGTGATTTCCTCTAGAAGGCACCACCAGAGCAGGGAGCCGAAATCCTTATCGCTGCCGAATCTCACCCAGAACACCCCCTGCCCAGATTTCTCACCTGGCCTCCCTGTAGCTGACACTGTCTTCCTCTTAGTACAACAAAAGATACAAAAACCGATGATAGCAATAACAGCAAGAGCACCAAGAGCAACAAGAGCAGTGCTCACAATGATCCACCGTGATCTCTGGTGCACCAGGGTCTTTCCTGAAAAAGGACCTTATTATATACAACCCAGGCACCCCAGAGCCACAACCTGCTCTCCTCTCCCTGACCCTGGCCTCTGACCCTCCCAGGGTCACAACCCCCTCCAGGCTCACCCCAGTCTCACCCAAGGGTGCGAGGTGTGTACTGTGATTCCCGCTGTGTTCCACAAGGCACTTGACCCGCTGCTCCTCTCCTTGGGGAATTATTATGGTTTCCCAGGTATAGTAGGTCCCGTTCCCATCAGGCAGGATACCCCCAGACTCCAGGGCATCCCGGCTCATGGGTTCCTCGTCCCAAAACCAGGCCACTGAGATATTCCGGGGAAAGAAGCCAAAAGCCCTGCATGTGAGGTGGACCATGCCCTCTGAGTCCTGGCTGCGGGTCACATTCACGGCTGGCGGCACTGTGGGGAGAAAGCACAGAGCCAGTAGGCCTGCGGCCGAGCCCTGCTCCCTTGAAGGAGGACGGGGTCCACAGGGCTGCTCCTCCTCACTGTCACCTCTGGCTGAGCCCTCATCCCCCCAGGCCTGCTCCAAGTCTGTTCTGCATCCTGGGGCCCAAGTCCTCTGGTGGGGAAGGGGATGGGTGGGATGGGCCTCACTCTCTTGGATCCACTGTTGATGCTGGGGAGGGGGCTGTGAAGGGTGGGCTCCTGGGGACTAGAGGGAATTTTCTGGATCAGGCAGGCTGGGAGCCAGGGGCCCAGCCCCATCTAAGGGCCTCCTCTGCTGCCTGACACCCACCTCCCCTCGTACAGTTTCTGTGAGAGGACCCGCTGGTCCCCTGGACGATTGTCACAGAAGCAGTTCATTCTCCACCCACATCCATCTTTCTACAGTGCATTTAATAGAACAGGAAAGAAACCCCACGATACTATGCCAACAGAGCACACATGCGCCCAGGGGACAGGAAGGGTCCATGGGCAAGTTGGGTGGGAGGCTTTGAGATCGGGGCAGAGGAAGGGCCTGGCCCAGGGTCAGTACCTGTCCTCTCCATGAAGCCCGTCCAGGATTCCAGGTAGACCCGCAGTCTTCCACAAAGTTCTCCCTGCACGTGGGCCTGGTAATGCTTGCTTAGAAAGCCGTCTGTGTCCCAGGACTTCTCCATTTCCATGGCCAAGGTCCAAGCAGAGGACTGGGGCAGGGCACATCCGTGGGCCTCCGGGTAACAGGAAAGGAGGAGCTCCCCATCGAAGTGGAGAAGCCGGAAGCCCCGGGCGCGGCTGTCTTCACGGATCTCACAGCCCACAGTCTCCTGGAGGGAATGTAAGCCTGCCCCATCCCCACCCCCCAAGCAGTGACTCCTCTGGTCCCGAGGGCCTCTGTTCTCCCACCCAAGTGAGAAAGTCCAGAGAGAGGGCTCCCCCCTGCTCCCCTCCATGTCTTCCCTGTGCTGCTGAACTCACAGACCCCAATACCTCACCCTCACCCCCAAATTCAGAGGAAAGAGGCCTGTGCTCTGGGCTGCAGTCCCTCCTGGAATATGTCCCACACCACTCTCCCCGCCTCTGTACTCTCACCTCTTTTCTCTTCCTGCAGGGACAGGATTTCTGCTAGAAGTGTTCTGAGCTCCTTACAGGTCTCGTTCAAGTCCTTGGACTCTGTCTCCCACGTCTCTGCTCCCAGCCTTTCAGCCCACCATCCCTGTGGCTCTGCCCTCCACTTCGTGTCATCAAAGTGCAGGAAGGCCTGACCATCCAAGTGTCCCTCAGCAAAAAACCTGGACTGCACAAAGCCATCCCAGGATAGCACCGTCGTGTTGTAAGAAAGACTGTGGGATCCTAGGGAAGGAGGAACCGCAGATGAAGCTGCTTTCTGGAAACAAGTGTACATCAGGTGTTTAACAGACAAGTTCTGTATCCTGACCTACTCCAGGTGCTGAGGATGCAGAACATGCATGTGTTCAAGGGGCCAGAATGAGGATTTCCATACAGGAAAAATGCGAAAGAGAAGGAGGGAGAGGGGAATGGAGGAGTGGAGCGAGAGGGTGGAGATGGACACACATTTAGGACAAGTGCCAGGGCAGGGAGGCGTCGGCTCCCTAAGGGTCCAGGCAGGAGGGCAAGGGGAGAGGCAGGAAGAGGGAGAGGGGAGGTGGAGTCAGAGGGAGGGAAGGGCAGTGTCAGACCTAGGACCAGAGGGATCCCTGGTCAGAGGAAGTCAGGTGAGATGGAGATCTGCCGCCCCTGATGCAGGCTCATCACGTACAAGGCAGGCTCCAGGGAGGGTGAGGCAGGAGGCAGAGGGGCCTGAGGGGCTGGGCTGTGGCCCCAAGAGCGATGAAGGTGGCCAGTAACCTGGGGGAGGTGAAGGAGTGGGTCTGGGCCCAGAGTGCACAGAGGCCTGGTGAGGACCCTGGTGGGGGGTGTCCCCTGGGAGGAGTCAGTCTATGCGCACAAGGGTCATGGGGAATTAGGAGTAGGGTGGCAAGAGAAGATAGAACTTAAAGCCAAGGTGCACACTGGGAAGCACCTATGTGGTGGGAGGAGTTGGAGGGAGTGACGTCACACCTCCAGGGAGGGTCAGGGTCAGACATCCAGCAAGCTGGAGGTGGGGGCCTGGGAGAAGACTCCCTGTAGGAAAGGCCTGTGACAAAGTGGCATAAACAAGGATTTTGGATACAAGACCTAGATAGTGAGAGCCCACTGGGGTCGTGGAACCAAAGAGAGGGTGATGAAGGCTAAGGAGGTGGGCAGTGGACCAAGGGCAGTATTCCTACTGTGGGAAGGGAAGAGACTGCAAAGGAGATGTGGTGAGGGCCTGGGATTGAGGGGCAAGGGATGAGCATGGCTCAGGGGTGACCCCGCCCCCCACCTTGGGTTAAGGTAAAGACAGAAGAGGAGGGACGCCCTGGGTGAGGGAGAGTGAGGGTAAGGTGGAGATTCTGGGCACCAGGGGCCCTGTGATTGATGAGAACTTGGTGAGGGCCCAAGGCACTCGGACAAGGCTGGGAGCAGGGCAGGTGCCATGGGGGGAGCTGCAGATGGACCGGGGCAAGTGGAGTCCAGCACCTGTGGCCTGGAGAGTGGAGGAATCCAGAGGGTGAGGTTTAGGATGCAGGAGTAGGGGAGGGGCCGTGTTGGGCGAAAGGCCCCCCCTTGGCTGAGGGCCAATAGCAGGTGCTCGCAAGGGGGCAGAGGTAGGAAGATGGGTGTCAAGTGGGGGACAGGTCCTCCCCCAGGGGCTGGGCACTGTGCTCAAGGCCCAGGGATCATTGGCGGGAGAGCTCCCTCCTGGTGATGATAATAGGGCATCACCTATTTGGAGCGGAAATCCATGGGTAAAAGTCATCCCAGGAAAAGTAAGGATAGTGAAAGCTGAGGGGATGTAGAAGCCTTGCAGGTGACCGATCCTTGCAGGAAAGACCCATGAGGGGACGGGGCGAGGNTCCTTGGCGAATCCCATGGAGGGAGGAGCCTGGTAGGCTACAGTCCACTCGGTCGCAAAGAGTCGGAGACGACTGAGCTACTTCACTTCACTTCACTTCCGCTCCTCAGTTGTACTCTGCCTCTCATTACTAACCATTCCACTAAGATCCTCATGCAATACTTTTGTTGTGGGCCCAAATGTCATGCCTCAGAAAGTTTTAACATTTCTTAGATTTCGCATCATTTTTGTTAATTACTTTGACCATCATAATTTACTTAGCAGGTCAGAGATTGAGTCCGTTCCCATCCCAGAGAGATTCTTTTTCACTGCTAAAGCTCACAAGTGATAGGAGGCATAGAGTGGATGGAGTCTGCCTCCCAGTGCAGGGAACATGGTTCCATCCTTGCTCTGGGAAGACTCCACGTGCCCGGGAGCAGCTGAGCCCCTGTACCAACTGGGCTTCCCTGGTGGCTCAGACGGTAAAGCATCTGCTGTAATGCAGGAGACCTGGGTTCGACCCCTGGGTCAGGAAGATCCCCTGGAGAAGGAAATGGCAACCCACTCCAGTACTCTTGCCTGGAAAATTCCATGGATGGAGAGGCTTGGTAGGCTACAGTCCATGGGGTCACTAAGAGTCGGTCTCCAGTACTCTTGCCTGGAAAATTCCATGGATGGAGGGGCCTGGTAGGCTACAGTCCATGGGGTCACTAAGAGTCGGACACGACTGAGCAACTTCACTGGTTCACCACAACTACGGAACACCCCCTCCCCGCTCTAGACCGACTCCCAGCAACTAGAGAAGCCCGCCGTGCAGCAACAAAGACTCAGAGCAGCCAAAAATAAATAAATAAATGAGTAGTGAAGGTATAGACAGGCAGATGGAAGCCAGCTCTCCTGACAGCTAGACAAGCCCTTTCCTCCAAGTCAGTTTTTTCCCAAGACTTGCTGGGTGTGGCTGCTCCAGCAAGCTGGTTCACTTAGTTGAACCCTCTCCCTCTCCCCCGAAGACTTTTAATACTAACGTTAACATGCTGTTTGTTTCCCAGCTCGGGATGATTGTAATGAGTTAATGCCAACTACTCTGTGTGGGAAGCAGGAGTCCAGATTGGGGGTGGGGGGCTCCTCCCCCAGCACACGTCGCAGCTAGTCCGGGGTACCAAGTGCTTTTCCTCCACCCACCCGGCCTCCAGACTCCCCTGCTTTTCTCTATAAACTACTTTATCTCCATTCTTTCTTTTGTACCCCTGGACTCACCGGCACACGGCCCTCTTTCTCTCCGCAGACCTCTGGTACCACTACAAGGTCCGAAAAGGAAACAGAAAACGACCCGATTGTTGGGAGCTTACATAACCCAGGGCGGGGCTCGACAAACCCTCAGAAGATCGCCCCTCCCCTCTAAGTCTGGCTTAAAGGGAAGAAATGCTGTTCGTGGATTAAAAAAAAAAAAAAGCAGAATGAAGGAATTTATGGGCAGGTTGGGAGAGGAGTGAGCTGCATTTAGGTTTCTGGTTCTCAAGCTGCTCAACAATTAACATCTGCAGGCTGCAGGCTGTGAAAACGCAGATCTGCCCGGGTCCACGGAAATACCCACTTGTAGGTCCGAAGGGAGATTCCGGAACCCGACTTGTTTCAAGCACTCTCTGGGTCGATTCTGAAGAGGTTTTTTCCGAGCCCCCGAGCCCACGGGGCCGCTCTTGAATTCTAGGATCCAAGTACATTTCCCACCGCCCCGCGTCGCCCCGGGAAGGAAAGAGTCCGCGGCGGAGCTGGACTTCGAATCCGGTCCCGCCCACCGCAGAGGAAAGCAGAAAGAGGATTCAGGAAAACACACACACCGAGGTTCTGTCAACGTTAGGGAGGAAACTAGACCCAGAGTGACTTTCTTCAAAGACCGGGGTGACTTCCTGAAACAATACAATAGCTGCAGAGCCGTGCGGTGCTTCAGCCTTTGCAAAATGCCAGAGTGAGCTCTGACTTGGGCTTTGGTCGTTGACCGGCCCCGGATGAGTGACGTGTGCTTGAAAACGAGGGGATAAGCTGTCAAAGTGAGAGTGGAAAAGGAAGGAGGGAAGGGGGAAAGGGTTAAAGAAAGAAAAAAATAAGAGAAAGGGAGAAAAAAAGCTACAGGGGAGATGAATTTTTAACTGTAATTTTATGATTTCCAGCATCTTTATTCTTCATCTAGATCTGTCTTTTGTTCAAGTTTGCTGCAACTGTTTGTTTGCTCTCTGAATGCATACGTAGACGGCTGTTTTTGTTGCTGCCCAACCACTGTGGAGTAAATGGCCCAGTCTCTCCCTCGAGATGTGCAAGGCACAGCTCTCAGCAAAAAGACAAGGTGTCTTGTTTCTTTTGTTTACCTAACCAAAGGACTCATTCCAAAGAGATTTATATTTTAAAAATCAACTTTGAAAGTACATACTGTACATAAAACACCTATTTGAAATACAGAGCTGGTTGAGTTTTGGCAATTTACATGCCCATGTCACCACATGAAGATGTAGAACTATTGTTTAGTTGCTAAGTTGTGTGGAGCTCTTTGCGACCTCATGGACTGTAGCCTGCCAGGTTCCTCTGTTCATGAGATTTTCCAGACAAGAATACTGGAGTGGGTTGCCATTTCCTTCTCCAGAGGATCTTCCCAAACCATGGGTCGATCCTGGGTCCCTTGCATTGGTGAGTGGGTTCTTCACCATTGAGCCACCAGACAAGCCCCAGAGTCACCTAGGGTGGAATCAGATTCCCTCAAAGAAATATCATTAAGAGAAAATCGTTGTGACACCAAGACCACACAAATGCTCAAACAGAACCAACACCAGAAAACCAAAATGCTAGTTCAGATGAGATCTCTGCAGCTGGCTGTAATTCTTTGTGGGACATGTTAGGTAGAAACGATAACTCTATTTAGGGCTGTAGCTCAGTAGCCCTTACATCCCTGGAGCCTCAGAAAGGACCCTGGATCTTCAGCTGCCCACAGTGAGGTCATTCGTGGGGCAAAAGTAGAATCTTCTTGAATTCCTGAGGATTTTACATTTACTCAGTGCCACTGTGGATGTTGATTTCTTTGTTGAACATTCTGGAATTAATTTTCTTTGACTAAATAAGAACCGCAAACAGGAAGCCAGGAACTGATCTTGAACCATTGCCTCATGATGATGACTCATGCAAACATGACTCATGCAAAACTCCTGAGAGTTTTTGAGCTATGAAATCCATAGTTGGATAAACAGTAAATTCTCCTTTTCAACACGTTTCAGATATCCCAGCTTGCCTAGTAATGTTCTAGTGAACCCCAGGCTTAACATTTAAAATTTATATTTTTATTGGCACTGATTTTTACTTTTTTTTTTTTTTTAAATGTTTATTTATTTATTCTTGGCTTTGCTGGGTCTTTATTGCTGCATGGGCTTTTCTCGAGTTGTGATGAGTGGGGCTACTTTCTAGTTGCAGGGCACAAGCCTCTCATTGCTGTAGATTTTCTCGCTACAGAGCACAGGTTCTAGGGAACACGGGCTTCAATATTTGCCGGCACATGGGCTCAGTAGTTGAGGCTCCTAGGCTCCAGAGCACAGGCTCAATAGTTGTGGTGCATGGGCCTGTTTCCCTGTGGCATGTGGGATCTTCCCAGATCTGGGATCAAACCTTGTCTCCTGCATTGGAAGGCTGATTCCTTACTACCGAGCCACCAGGGAAGCCCTGATTTTTAAATAATTCCTGTATTTTACAATGAGTTTGTTGCAATAAGCTGTTGCAGCCTGACAGAGCAGAGACCAGAACCTGCACCATGACTCAAGGATACGGCA